CCTCCACGGGCCTTGCTCTGTGTGTGACGGGGGAGAGCCATAACCTCCCCATTGGCCCTGCCCTGAGTGTGACAGGGTGCAGCGCCCCAACCTCCTGATCCGCCCTGCTCTGTGTGTGACAGGGGACGGTGCCCCAGCTCCCCTATTGGCCCTACTCTGTGAGTGACAGGGGGGAGCTCCTCAACCCCCTGATCGGCCCTGCTCTGTGCATGATAGGGGGGGGCTCCCCAACCCCCTGATGGGCCCTGCTCTGTGCGTGACAGGGGGTGGCACCGCAACCTCCCCATCGACCCTGCCTTGAGTGTGACAGGGGGCGGTGCTCAACCCCCCAATTGGCCCTACCCTGAGCGTGACTGAGGGTGGCATCGCAACCTCCCAATCGGCTCTGCTCTGAGCCTGACCAGGGGCTGCACCTAGGGATTGGGCGTGCCCTCTGCCACCCGGGAGCAGGCCTAAGCCAGCAGGTCGTTATCTCCTGAGGGGTCCCAGACTGCGAGAGGGCACAGGCTGGGCTGGGGGACCCCCCTTCCCTCCCCCTCCCTGAGTGCACAAATTTTTGTGCACCGGACCCCTCTAGTATTAATATAAGCTGTTAATAATAGGGAAACTGTGTGAGACTTATGAGAATTATCTTTACAACTAGAGGTCTGGTGTATGACATTTGTGCAATGGGAAGGGGGGGGGGGTCCCTTCAGCCTGGCCTGCGCCCTCTCACAGTCTGGGACCCTTCAGGGGATGTCCACCTGCCAGGCCCCAAGGGGTCCTAAGCGCTGCCCTGCTTCTGACCACCATGGGGCAGCTCCTGCATTGACGGTCTGGCCCCTAGTGGTCAGTGCACATCATAGTTACTGGTCGTTCTGCCGTTTGGTCAATTTTCATATTAGCCTTTTATTATATAGAATAATTCTATTCATCTAAAACTGTTCTAAAATAAAATGTTTATTTATTATTATTTTTTAATCCTCACCTGATGATATTTTCCCATTGATTTTTAGAGAGAGTGACGGGAGGTGGAGAGACAGAGAAAGAGAAACATCAATGTGAGAGAGACACATCAATTGGTTGCCTCCCAAGTTGAGCCTGCAACTGAGGTATGTGCCCTTTACCAGAATAGAACCTGGGACCCTTCTGTCTGCAAGCCAATGCTCTATTCACTGAGCCAAACTAGGTAGGGCTAAAATGTTTATTTTTTAAATGAGACTTTATTTTTCTTTCCTATCTTTAGAATAGTTTGAATTATCATCACTATGAGTGTGTTTGGCATGTGCTCATTATAATTGAAAGGAAATGCTCTTATCTAGGAATGGTTACATGTTAAGATCAGTCACATTGTTGTCTTAGCAACCATCAATTGCAAAGCTTAGTCCAGGGAAAATATAGCTGTCACTTACATAGCACAGACAGAGCAGTGGTGGCAGCGATCTGGCTTGATCAAATGGCACTGGTCACAGAATCTTACAGCTATAGGAAAAATAAGATGGTTAGCACTGATTAGAGCTCAATGTGATACCATCTATCTTCCTAGCTTATCTGAATGGCTTGCTATATATATACATTGATTACAGGTAGTCAAACTCATTTCAAGTTATCAAGCAAAAGGCAAATTGCATAAGAGAATTGTGGTATGTATGTTTTTTTCCTATTGTATCAATCTTTTTTTTTCAAATACAAACAAAAGTTCATTTAGAAAGTCACAGAAGTAAGAAAGGTGAGCCAGCTGGTCTGCACGGGCTCAGGAAACAAGATACAGAGGCAAAAGAAGGTCCTTTGGAGCTTAGGAGAGAGAGTGTGCACAAAGGTATGCACAGGGAAGAAAAGGGGGAATGGTGAGAAAGAGAGAGAGAGAGAGAAAGAGAGAGAGCGAGCCCTGGAGAAAGTAGGGGGTGGGGAAGGGCTCAAGCATACTTAAGAGAGAGAGAAAGTGTACCCTATTGAATCAATCTTGAAAGTACCTTTTTGGGAATGAAGGTAAGGGGGAAAGTTTTCATATCATAGGATTAGACACAATACCTAATCATAAGATGTTGTGTTACAAAACAAACTATACTGTCAACTGCTTGAGTGATCTTGGGAAAATTATTTAGCCTCTGTTTACTTTAACTCTCCCCACCCCACATCGAGGTATGTCAGTCTGTTCCATGCCTCCCTGCTTCAGGTCTTATTTTGTTGGTAAATTCCTTTTGTTCATTAGATTCCACAAATAGGTGAGATCATGTGATATTTCTCTTTCTCAGATTGACTTATTTCACATAGCATAATATTCTCCAGATCCAGCCATGCTGTCCCAAAGGGTAAGAGATCCCTATTTTTCACAGCTGCATAGTATTCCATCGTGTAAATGTCCCACAGCTTTTTTATCCATTCATCTACTGATTGGAACTCGGGCTGTTTCCAATTCTTAGCTATTGAAAATAATGCTGCCATGAACATAGGAGGGCATATATTCTTTCTGATAGGTGTTTTGGGGTTTTTAGGATATATTCCCAGAAGTGGGATCACTGGGTCAAATGGAAATTCCATTTTTAACTTTTAAAGGAAACTCCATACTGCTTTCCATAGTGGCTGCACCAATCTGCATTTCCACCAGCAGTGAACTTGTGCTCCCTTTTCTCCACATCCTGGCAAGCACTTGTTGTCTGTTGATTTTTCTGATGATAGCCATTTTGACAGGTGTGAGGTGATATCTCATTGTCATTTTAATTTGCATCTCTCTGATGATCAGTGACTTTGATCATTTTTTCATGTGTCTCTTGGCCATTAGTATGTCCACTTTGGAGAAATGTCTATTCAGGTCTTCTGCCCATTTTTTAAATTGGATTGCTTGTCTTCTTTTTGTTGAGTTGTATGAGTAATTTATATATTTGGGATATAAATTCCTTATCAGATGTATCATTGGCAAATACGTTCTCCCACTCAGTGGGTTCCCTTTTCAATTTGATGGTGGTTTCTTTTGCTGTGCAGAAGCTTTTTATTTTCATGTAGTCCCATTTGTTTATTTTCTCCTTAGTTTCCTTTGCCCTAGGAGATGTATCCATAAATATATTGTCACGTGAGATGTATGAGATTTTACTGCTTATGTTTTCTTCTAAGATTTTTATCGTTTCATGCCATATATTTAAGTCTTTTACCTACCTTGAGTTTATTCTTGTGTATGGGACAAGTTGGTGGCCTCGTTTCATGTGTCTTTCCAGTTTTCCCAACACCATTTGTCTTTACTCCATTGTATGTTCTTGCCTCCTTTGTCAAATATTAATTGACCACAATGGTGTGGGTCAATTTCTGGGGTCTGTGTTCTGATCCATTGGTCTATATGCCTGTTCGTATGCCCCATACCAGGCTATTTTTGTTGTAATGGCTTTGTAGTGTAGTTTGATATTTAGTATTGTGATCCCCTCTACTCATTCTTTTTTCTCAAGATTGCTGCAGCTATCTGGGGTCTTTTATGGTTCCATATACATTTTTGGAGTATTTGTTCTAACTCTGTGAAGTATGCCATTGGTATTTTAATAAGGATTGCTTTGAATCAGATTTCTTTGGGTAGTATAGACATTTTAATGATGTTAATTCTTTCAATCTATGAACATGATATACAGTATTTGTTTGTATCTTCCTCTATTTCTTTTTTGAATGTCCTTTAGTTTTCCAAGTACAAGTCTTTTAACTCCTTTAAATTTATTCATTTTTTAATAGGATTGTATGTTTGGTGTTGAGTTGTATGAGTCCTTTATATACTTTGGATATTAAAGCCTTGTCAGAGCTGTTGTTTGTAAATATCTTCTCCCATTTGGTTGTTGCTTTTTTGTTTCATTGGCAATTTCCTTTGCTGTGCAGAAGCTTTTAGTTTGATATAGTCTCATTCATTTATTTTTGCTTTTATTCCCCTTGCCTTTGGGGACAAATTCATAAACTATTTTCTAAGACCAAGGCTCATAAGTTTAATATGTACATTTTCTTCTATGTAATGTATTGTTTCTGATCTTATACTTAGGTTTTTGATCCATTTTGAATGAATTTTTGTACATGGCACAAACTCTACTCTAGTTTTATTCTTTTGCATGTGACTTTTCAATTTTCCCAGTACCATTTATTGAAGGGGCTTTCCTTTCTTCATTGTAGGTTTTTGATTCATTTGTCAAAAATTTATTTGTCCATATACCTGTGGTTTTATTTCTGGGATCTCAATTCTGTTCCTTTGGTCTGTGTATCTGTTTTACTGCCAATACCATGTTTTTTAATATTATGTTTATTCTGTAGTATAATTTTATGGCAGGTAGTGTGATACTTTCAGCTTTTTTCTTTTTTCTGAGGATTGCTTTGTCTCTTTAGTTCCTTTTGTAGTTCCATATAAATCTGATGATTTTTTGTTCTATTTATTCTTAAAATGTCATTGAGATTTTAATGGGATTGTATAAAATCTGTATATTGCTTTGGGTAATATGGACAGTTAGTTATGTTGATTTTTCTAATCCATGAACACAGAACGTCTTTCCATTTCATTTTGTCTTTTTCCATCTCTTTTAATAATGCTTTGTATTTTTCAGTAGATAAGTCCTTCACTTCCTTTGTATTTTATTTATTTATTTTGCAATTGCAAAAGGAATTCTTTTTCATATCTTTTACTGAAATGTCATTGCTAGTATATAGGAATGCAGGGGATTTTTGTACATTGAGTTTTGTATCCTGCTACTTTACTATATTTGTTTATTGTTTCTAATTTTTTGGTGGAGTCTTTAGGGTTTTATATATAAAGAATCATGTCATCTGTCAAAGTGGCATTTTTATTTCTTCATTCCCAATTTGTATGCCTTTTATCTCTTTCTCTAGCCTGATTTTTTAAAGATATGGTTAATGTCACTGCCCAGTGTAAGCCACCATCATCTTTCACATGAATGATTACAATAACTGCTGCCTATTTACTCATTCTTTCATTATTGTCCCTCCTCCACCCACAGTATATTTTCTACAAAAGAGCCAGTTGATCAGTTAAAATGAAAATCAGATCATATCACTTTATACTTAAAGCCTTCAATGGATTTTCAACACCCTTAGAAAAAAATCCGAACTCCTTACCATGGCCTGCATCATCTGGCCTTAGGCTACCTCTTCATTCTTAACTTGTGCCACTCTCCTACTACAATACTCCAGTTACACTGATTATCTGTCTTTTCTCCTATTAATGCAAGTTTGCTCCTGTTCCAGGGTGTTTTGTATTTGCATTTGCTTTTTATCTTCAAGTCTCAGATCAAATGACATTTATTTAGAGAAGCCTGATATTACTCTCTATCACAGGGACTGCAAAAAAAGCTTCAAGGGTCCAGGAAATAGGGAATAGTGAGTGAAGCAGCTAGTTGGAGACTGTGGGAGAACCTGATAATCCATGCCCTATTTAAAGAGATTTACTACTCAGCTTCAGCTAATTTCTGCATGCAGAAATGCAGATTGTTTGATTTTTCAAGAGAAGCTAGAAATCTGGATTTTCACTTGGTAATATTCTAATTGTTAAAAACTAGTAACAAATGCAAAGTTTTAACAGACACACAGATCAGACAAAATATAAACCTGAACCCAGTACATCCAATATGCCTCTTCTTTGTAATCACTGCTTTATCACATAATTCTGTTTTCTACTATCTGAAACTGTATAATTTTGTGTCTGTCTTCTTTTCAGAAGATATTAGTATGCCTTAAGACTTTGCTTAAAAATTATAATCACCATATGACATTAATGCTCTAACAAAATTAACAGCAAGTCCTTAATATAATCTAATACTCAGACCATATTAAAATTTCCCCCATTGTCATATAGGATCTTAATAAATATTTATTAAGTAAATGATAAATGAACATAAATAACTAAAGTACACTTCCTAAAGTTTTGAAACAGAATCTTTTTGTCAAAAGAGCCTTATTTTTCAAATTTTAAAAAGCAAACAATTAGTTCAGCTAGTATAATTCTAGTCATGCATATAAAAACTAACAGTAAAACTCCACAGTAGATGTTTACCCAAGAAAAATGAAGGCACATCTCTCCACAAATACTTGTACAAGAAAGTTCTCAGCAGATTAACTCACAATATCTAAGCAGCAGAAACAACCCAAATGTGCATTAATGTGTAAATGGATAAATAAACTATGAAATATTCACACAATGAAATATTACTTGGCAATAAAATACACAGCAATGTAAGTCCCAAAGGCATTATGCTGAATATAATAAGGCAGACAAAATAGTAAATACAGTATATATTTATTTATATAAAATTCTAGAGCAGATAAAACTAATATATGGAGGAAAAAATATCATAATAGTGGCTGTATTTAGTGAGAAGGAGCATGAAAGAACATTCTGGAGTATGGTAATATTTATAGAGATTTTGGTTACACGAGTGTGTACATTTGTGGAAATGCTGAATGGTACATTTATGATTTGTGCTTGTTTATATATGTATATTTCATCCCCAAAAGAATTATAAAATATTTAATTTAAATATGTACTGATATCTGCTACTTACATTTAAATGCACCAAAAATAATTAAGCTTTATGAATGATGGGTAGAGGAATGAGTTTGTGAACAGATGTGTGATAAATCAATATAGTTCAATGTTAGTAGTGGGCTGTAGTGGTGGGCATACAAATGTTTATTGTATAATTCTTCCATCTTGGATAAAATTTTGAAATTTTTTATAATAAAATGCTGAGAAAGACTCCATATTGTTTTTCAGAAGAGAAGAGAAAAAAAGGGGCTAGCCTAAGGATATATATGACTTAGACTTTCTGAGACACTTGCTGATCTGCCTCTCTGGTTGACTTTGGATGAACTGACCTCCACTTCCAGTCCTTGTGTAAACTGGTAGCTTCTTGGCAATATCAACGAGGATCTGCTTTTGGACATCAGGTCTCTCTTCATTTTCATAGCGCTCCTTGTCTGTATAGGATAAATGAAACTGGAAGCAGAAGTGAGAAGCAAGTATTTATTTCCCAAGGTTCACAAAAAAATTAAAAACAACAATAATCATTTAGAAGAAGAGATTTGTTACCTATCCTGAAGCTCACTTACCTATTTGGCATATAACTTTCTCTGGAGAATTATCTCAACTAGCTATCTGGCTTTTATCTCAATCTTTATAACTCTGCATGATAGGTAGTTTTGTTTTATAAGTAAAATAAAACTTATATTAGGTAACTTGAGCATTGTTACACTCACTCAACCAGTAAGTAGCAAAACTAAGCCCAAACCCAGTTCACTGTACTCCAAGACTTGTACCCTGTATACTACAATATGATATTGCATTCTGATGTGTGATGTCTTACTGACAGGACCCTAATAACTATGAATAACTATGCTTATTATTAAGTTTTGAGTATTTTTCATAGGTGACACTTTTGTAGGATCTGGATGAGACTGCTTGCGACATTATCTGGATATTCTAATTTTGAAAATAAGCAGAAATTTGGATATTCTCACTATTTCAATAATTTGTACTCTGGTATGAAGTTTCTTGCCATGTCTGCACCATACCTTGCTTATCTTGCAAAAGATATTCCAACAATTTGCCAAAGTAACACAGACCTTAAAGCTTTCTTCTGTCTGGGCCAAAGTGTAGGTAAATGTGAAAAAAGAGAAGGACCTGTGTTCATATTTTCTGGGTTTAAGTCTCATATCTGCAACTTGATAGTTTAAAAAATTACTTTGGAAAATCAGACTCTGTCATTCTAAAGTTATCCAACAGTAAAACAGAGGCAATAATAACTATTTAACACCAAAAAAAATAAATGTTACTAAGCTTCAAAAAAATATGGTTTTCTCTGGCTGGAGAAAATTAATTATTTATTATGAATTCTTTACAATAAATTTCAAAAAGTGGTATGCCAGGCCACAAAATATACAAAATTATAAGGCCTTTGATACATATTACCAAACTATCTTTTAGTTATTTAACAATTTACCTTCTAACTAGTATATCATTTTTATTGTCTTTTTCGTGATTTTTCTGAATTTCATACAAAAATCATTTATTACTTTAAATTGAAGAAAAAATAAATTATTTTTTTAATCTTTATTGTTCAGATTATTACAGATGTTCCTCTTTTTTCTCCCCCTAGCTCTCCTCCACCCGGTTCCCACCCCACTCCAGGCCTTCCCTCCCTGTAGTAGAGCTCGGGAAGTATGTCTCAGCGCTGCGGCTGATGCAATGGTGTGAGCACACTCCATCATGACATGCTTCCTCGGCACACCAGGAAGTAGCAATGCCCGCCTGAACTAACTCCTAGAGCCACGTGCACAGTACCCCAGCCTTTCAGCCATTGGTCGCCTATAGCAACGTGTCTCCCTCTAAATGGTCGCCTATAGCAACGTGTCTCCCTCTGATTGGTCGCCTATAGCAACATGTCTCCCTCTGAGTGGTCGCCTATAGCATCGTGTCTCCCTCTGATTGGTCCCCTCATGCTATATATACCCCTGTAGTTCCACAATAAAACAGATCTGCGTCACTGAACCTGGTTCCCGGAGTGGTGCATGCAGACGCCCTAGCACGTTGGGGCTCCGGCGTCCTCACCCCCGAGGGACCCCCTGCTTCATCTGGCACCCGAACGTGGGGCCCCCAGAACGGCTGGACGGGTGACCGACTCTACAGTAAAATGGGAAACTCCCCCTTCGGCTAGAGGGCCACAAGCGCGCGCGCTCCACACCTTACTGCAGAGCAGGCGAGTTAAGGTCTCTGAAAAGGAACTCCAAACTCATTGGGAATATCTATTACAGTCCAATCCGTGGTTAATCGAGGCCCCCATTTGGGACCCCTCCACTTGGGAGAAGGTCTTGAAAAGGATTCGA